TTATTTACTCCTCTCCTTCTCTCCCTTTATTCCCTCCCTTCCTATCCTTTCCAGTTCCCTACTTTTTACAAATTCTCTTTTTCACTTTTTCTCTCTCCTTTTTTCTCCCTCTCCCTCCCTCCCTCCCTCTACATGCTCTACATCACAGGTCTCCCTCTAAAGCTTTTGCACAGTAATTAAATGCTCCAGTAATCTTGAACCACGCCACCATATAAAACAATCTCATTTCATACCTCCAAACACTTCACCCCTTCTACCAAATACTGCGATTTTTTCTTTAACAGGCATTAAACATTCGCCCCTTTTACCAAATACCGCAATTTTTCTTTAACAGGCATTAAATATTTATCCTTCTACCAAATACCGCAATTTTTCTTTAACAGGCATTAAATATTTATCTTCTACCAAATACCGCGATTTTTCTTTTTTCTTTAAAAGGCATTAAATGAGAAAGATGGGGCTACAACCTAAGACTGACCTACATAACAACTCATTACCCTAATCACAAATAATGCACACTCGACGAGCACACTACAGGCCTTTAGCTTCCTTGTAGAGAGAAACCATAAAATATTTTTTTTATCTATGCCAGTCTTCTTTTTTTTTAAAATCCATTTCTCTCCTCTTCTTCCTACAGCTACTGATTAAAACTCAAAACTCCATTTTGTTTTTTTTTTCCAGCTAATGTTGGATATATAGGAATTGTATTTGGGAAATTAATTTAGGTTTCGTATTGGAGCCAATGCTCTTTTAATCTCTTGACTCTTGATTTTGACACACATTTACATTTAACATTCTGTATGTAGATAAAAGTTATCTTTGCTATCTATGTACAGGTACATTTTTTTTTTTTTTTTTTTTTTTTTTAGCACAGCATTAGATGGGAAAAAATTATATTTTCCAATAATACTGAATTACTACATCAGAGAAAACAATCAACCATTTTATTCTAAATTGCAGAGTCCACAATAAACTTAATTTAGTGTTATATGGCTTTCATGATCTTTGATTATCTATACCCACTTTAATATAACAATTTTACCCTCCAGCTTATCAGCAGTTTTCTTATCTATGGTTTCACCACCTTGAAAATGGGAAAATTTTAGTCTCAGACATATGAATATTACTAATTATAGATAAAATCAATACTAAACCAAAGAATTTCAAATCAAATAGCAAGATTTATAAAACAAGAAACACACACCTTCAGCACTCCAGCAAAGGCCAACAAACCTCCACCCTGGAAAGGATTTTTTTAGCCAGAGTTTGGAGTCTTTTCCCACATGTTAATCTATTGCCAGGGAGGTCTTAAGGCTTTAAACATGATAGCCAAACTTAGGGTGATGAAATATTAATTCTAAAGACTGAAAAATCTATTGACCTAGAATTCACCCATCTATTGATTCCATCCACCGTTTACCTTACTAGTTTGCTCTACATTCAGCCAAAATTTGTCTTTGCAAAATACTTAGGCCTACTTCCCCTAACAATATTTTCATTTAGCTTTCATTTCAACATTAAAAAAAGGCTAATTCAATAAAGAAAACAGCACAATGCCACGGTTCACACACAATAAATGCCACCACCTCCACACCAGTTGGCACTCCAGTAAAGGCCAACACCCCTCCACCCTGGAAAGGATTTTTTTAGCCAGAGTTTGGAGTCTTTTCCCACATGTTAATCTATTGCCAGGGAGGTCTTAAGGCTTTAAACACGATAGCCAAACTTAGGGTGATGAAATATTAATTCTAAAGACTGAAAAATCTATTGACCTAGAATTCACACATCTATTGATTCCATCCACCGTTTACCTTACTAGTTTGCTCTACATTCAGCCAAAAATTGTCTTTGCAAAATACTTAGGCCTACTTCCCCTAACAATATTTTCATTTAGCTTTCATTTCAACATTAAAAAAAAGCTAATTCAATAAAGAAAACAGCACAATGCCACGGTTCACAAACAATAAATGCCACCACCTCCACACCAGTTGGCACTCCAGCAAAGGCCAACAAACCTCCACCCTGGAAAGGATTTTTTTAGCCAGAGTTTGGAGTCTTTTCCCACATGTTAATCTATTGCCAGGGAGGTCTTAAGGCTTTAAACATGATAGCCAAACTTAGGGTGATGAAATATTAATTCTAAAGACTGAAAAATCTATTGACCTAGAATTCACCCATCTATTGATTCCATCCACCGTTTACCTTACTAGTTTGCTCTACATTCAGCCAAAATTTGTCTTTGCAAAATACTTAGGCCTACTTCCCCTAACAATATTTTCATTTAGCTTTCATTTCAACATTAAAAAAAAGCTAATTCAATAAAGAAAACAGCACAATGCCACGGTTCACACACAATAAATGCCACCACCTCCACACCAGTTGGCACTCCAGCAAAGGCCAACAAACCTCCACCCTGGAAAGGATTTTTTTAGCCAGAGTTTGGAGTCTTTTCCCACATGTTAATCTATTGCCAGGGAGGTCTTAAGGCTTTAAACATGATAGCCAAACTTAGGGTGATGAAATATTAATTCTAAAGACTGAAAAATCTATTGACCTAGAATTCACCCATCTATTGATTCCATCCACCGTTTACCTTACTAGTTTGCTCTACATTCAGCCAAAAATTGTCTTTGCAAAATACTTAGGCCTACTTCCCCTAACAATATTTTCATTTAGCTTTCATTTCAACATTAAAAAAAGGCTAATTCAATAAAGAAAACAGCACAATGCCACGGTTCACACACAATAAATGCCACCACCTCCACACCAGTTGGCACTCCAGCAAAGGCCAACAAACCTCCACCCTGGAAAGGATTTTTTTAGCCAGAGTTTGGAGTCTTTTCCCACATGTTAATCTATTGCCAGGGAGGTCTTAAGGCTTTAAACATGATAGCCAAACTTAGGGTGATGAAATATTAATTCTAAAGACTGAAAAATCTATTGACCTAGAATTCACCCATCTATTGATTCCATCCACCGTTTACCTTACTAGTTTGCTCTACATTCAGCCAAAAATTGTCTTTGCAAAATACTTAGGCCTACTTCCCCTAACAATATTTTCATTTAGCTTTCATTTCAACATTAAAAAAAAGCTAATTCAATAAAGAAAACAGCACAATGCCACGGTTCACACACAATAAATGCCACCACCTCCACACCAGTTGGCACTCCAGCAAAGGCCAACAAACCTCCACCCTGGAAAGGATTTTTTTAGCCAGAGTTTGGAGTCTTTTCCCACATGTTAATCTATTGCCAGGGAGGTCTTAAGGCTTTAAACATGATAGCCAAACTTAGGGTGATGAAATATTAATTCTAAAGACTGAAAAATCTATTGACCTAGAATTCACCCATCTATTGATTCCACTCCACCGTTTACCTTACTAGTTTGCTCTACATTCAGCCAAAATTTGTCTTTGCAAAATACTTAGGCCTACTTCCCCTAACAATATTTTCATTTAGCTTTCATTTCAACATTAAAAAAAGGCTAATTCAATAAAGAAAACAGCACAATGCCACGGTTCACACACAATAAATGCCACCACCTCCACACCAGTTGGCACTCCAGCAAAGGCCAACAAACCTCCACCCTGGAAAGGATTTTTTTAGCCAGAGTTTGGAGTCTTTTCCCACATGTTAATCTATTGCCAGGGAGGTCTTAAGGCTTTAAACACGATAGCCAAACTTAGGGTGATGAAATATTAATTCTAAAGACTGAAAAATCTATTGACCTAGAATTCACCCATCTATTGATTCCATCCACCGTTTACCTTACTAGTTTGCTCTACATTCAGCCAAAATTTGTCTTTGCAAAATACTTAGGCCTACTTCCCCTAACAATATTTTCATTTAGCTTTCATTTCAACATTAAAAAAAAGCTAATTCAATAAAGAAAACAGCACAATGCCACGGTTCACACACAATAAATGCCACCACCTCCACACCAGTTGGCACTCCAGCAAAGGCCAACAAACCTCCACCCTGGAAAGGATTTTTTTAGCCAGAGTTTGGAGTCTTTTCCCACATGTTAATCTATTGCCAGGGAGGTCTTAAGGCTTTAAACATGATAGCCAAACTTAGGGTGATGAAATATTAATTCTAAAGACTGAAAAATCTATTGACCTAGAATTCACCCATCTATTGATTCCATCCACCGTTTACCTTACTAGTTTGCTCTACATTCCCTATTATTATATCACTTTCTATATTACCTATTTTCTATATTACCTATTTCTATATTTCTATATTAGTAATCTCTATATTACCGGCTAAATAACTAAATAACGCTCTAATAACACATAATTCATATATAGTCTAACAGTTATGATAAAGTTTTATGATATATTACATTATATAATACAATATATAGCATAAAACACCATAATAGGGTAGCATAGCTGTTAGCCTATAAATTGACCTTAATTGACCTTAATTTAGCTATTATTAATGATCTGCTTTTAAAATTTTCAACAAGCCGTCAGTAAGTGTCCAAGCATTTAATTAAAGCTGCCGTTATCCCTTTAATGTCCGAACAATTTCTTTAGAGTTGCCGTTAATCCCTTCAAAATCTCGTCGCGGCTTTCCGAATCCTTTAGAAAAAAAAAAAAAACATCAATTATAAAAACCTGACTGGAATGCAACAAATCCTTCGACATGAAACGCACGAATTAAGGAATTACATAGGAGGAATTACGTAAGAGTGCTTAGAACATTTAGTTAATTAAAATTCTCTGCAAAGATCTATATAGGATAAAGGAAAAAAAAAAATCAGACTGCCGTTACGGTGAATTAATACCTAACAGTGCCAAGATGGTGCCGTGAAAACAACAAACACAAAAGAGAAAAAATACACGCACACAAAGACAATAACGCACAAACACACACACACACACACGCACACAAAGACAATAACGCACACAGTCACACCTTACGCACATACACACAAAGACAATTAAACGCACACAGTCACACCTTACGCACAATTAGCCACTCCTCCCACTCACCCTCGGCAATGACATCCTCGACGGTGACGGTGTTCCTCCCGACCACGAAGACCTTGCCGACGAAGCTCTGGTGCGACTGGTCCTTGTTGGATTGGTCTATCCTCTGGAACAGCTTCTTCATCTTGACGCGTTTCCTTCACGTTTCCTTTACGTTTCCTTCGCGTTCCGGCACTTGGAGGAGGAGGAGGAGGAGGAGGAGGAGGAGGGAGGCGCGTGGGGGGTACGAAGAAGATGCAAATAAGGCGTGGATCGAGGAAAAAGGGGGGGGGGAGGGGGAGAAAAGGACGAGGGAAGCAATAATGACAATAAATATAAACGGCAAAGAAATGAATGGGGTTTGGACGTGGGGGGCAGGGAGGGTAGGGTAGGGTCCCGCCCCTCGAGAACGAAACAAAAACAAACAAAATATAATAGAAAAAAAAGGCACAATCAATAATTGCTTAATTTCCACCACAATCTCAAATCTCCACAATCAATACTTTCTTCCTTTAAAATACAAAAATTGGTAAGAAAGATGAAGAATATGAGAAAAAAAACACACAAAAACAAAACCCTTCTTTTCACAAACACAATTTTTTTTTCTTCCACCAACACAAAAATAATGAAAAAAAAACTTCAAAAAAAAAAAAACACACACACCAAAGGAGAGAAAAAAACCTTTGGGAAAACAACCTCTTCACTTCTCTATCTCTCTTTCTATCTCTATCTCTCTTTCTATATATATATATATATCTTTTATTATTACTATAACCAATTTCCTCTTTCTATGACACTCACGTTCTCTTTTTCTCTCAAGTAAAAAAATCTCTCCTCTTCTGCTCTTCCTCAGGCGCCTCGAGTGTGTCCTGCCCTCATGTCACTCTCCAAGGGCCACCCCAGCCAGCCCTCATGTCAACGCCTCAGCCGGCACGAGGAGGAGCATGTCACTGGTGCCACGACCTCATGTCCCCCCCTTGGAGCTCTTGAGAGAGAGAGAGAGAGGGGGGGGTGTGGTTGCGTTGGGGGAGGTGTGGGGGGGGGGGAGTGTAGAGAGCTCTAGGAGGAGGAGGAGGAGGAGGAGCGGGAGGAGGAGGAGGAGGAGGAGGAGGAGGAGGAGGAGGAGGAAGGTCACAAGGCTCTCTGTGGGCTAAAGATGGCAGCTTCCGGGACACGCACTCCCGCTCGCACTCGCACTCGCTCCTCGCTCGC